TGGTCGTGACCCGCCGCGGGCTGTGGCTCCGAGCGGCAGGCGGCGTGGTGGCTCTGCGCTGGGGCGCCCCCCCCCCCCCCCCCGGCCTGCGCCGCCGCTGGCCCACCCAGCTGGCCAGCGGCGAAGGCGATGGCCGCAGGGGGCGGCGGCACTGCTGGGGCCGCGCCCGCGGCGGCGGCGGCGGGGCCCCCGCAACCTGCGCCGCCTGCCGCAGCCCCTGGCACGGCGCCTGGCGCGGCGGCTCGCGCTGGCCCGCACACGCCGACGTGGGCCGCGATGCTGGGGTGAGCCGCCAGGAACTGGGCGAAGGCCTGCTGGTCGGCCTGGCCCATGACCGCCGCGCGGGCGCCCATCTGCTGGGGTTGGGGCGGCTACACCGCGCCTGCCACAGGCGCCGCGCCCCCGCCTCCATCGGAATGGACCGATGCCGCCCACCCATGGGACTTGGTGGTGGCCTTTTCCTTGGCGGCGAGCTCCTGGGTGACCGCCACCGCGAGGGCCTCCTCCGCCTGCTCCAACTGGGCGCGGAGGGTGTCGACGGTCGGCTGGCACTCCTCCTTGTACGCCGATGCCCAAGCCATGGCCCGCTTCGCGAGCCAAACCTGCTGCGACAAAATCGGCGCGCGGTCGCCCTCGTCGTCGTCGTCGTCGTCGTCGTCGTCGTCCGCCGCGGCGACGTACTGGTTCTTGAAGGCCTCCAGCTGTGGTGTCCCGGGCAAGCCCTGCAGGCCCTGCAGGATGCGCTGGAGGTACGGGCCCTCGTCGGGGTCGTCGTCGGGCTGGCTGGCCCCCTGGCACAGCCCGCTCCCGCTCTTGCCCAGCAGGTCCTTGCAGGCGCGCGTGAGCCACTTCCCCTCGCCACACATCTCGCACATCAGGTAGCGCTTGTCCTGCTCCTTGCGCTGTTCCTCCTCCTCACTTGTCCCCGCGCCTTTGCCCCAACCCCACGTTCAGCCCCCGTTTGCGGCCGCGACGCTGCTGCTGGCGCCCGCGCGAGCGACTCCGGCCGCTCATGGCACTGCGGAGTGCTGCGGGCCGCGCCGACATGGCCGTCACTGCTGGACGCGCTTGAGCGAAGTTGGGAAGTTCAGGAACAGGCCCCTTGAAATACATGCTTCGGCTCCTCCTCCTCCTCCTCCTCCTCCTCCTCCTCCTCCTCCTCTTCCTCCTCCTCCTCCTCCTCCTCCTCCTCCTCCTCCTCCTCCTCCTCCTCCTCTTACTCTTCTGCTAAGTCATATTAGTATGACTAAAATTCTCATTATGTTCATTACTCGCTTTCTCCTTCTCCTGATTAAGTATAGTATTATTATTCCATCCTCCATCCTTCATCCGCCTCCTCCTCCTTCCTCCTCCCTCCCTCCTCCTCCTCCTCCTGCTCCTCCTCCTCCTTTTCCGCCTCCTCCCCCTCCTCCTCCTCCTTCCTCTTGCTCCACCTCCTCCTCCTCCTCCTCCTCCTCCTGCTGCCCGTGAGGCTTCCCGCTCGGTCCTCCACCTCGCACATGTACGGCCTGCAGATGCGGTGACTGTTCCCGCTGTGCCAAATGGGCCTACCTGTGCGGCCGGCTCGGGGTTCAGGGGCACCCTGGGAGGGAGAGGACTCCGCGGGGTCCCATCAGGTCGAGAAGGAGGAGAGGAGGAGGAGGAGGAGGAGGAGGAGGAGGAGGAGGAGGAGGAGGAGGAGTAGGAGGAAGAGGAGGATGATGAGGAGAAGCATGAGAAGGAGGAGGAAGGCGGTAAGGACGACGAGTGGCGAAGAAGGACGAGAGAAAGAGCAGTGGTGAAAAAGGGAGACGGGGTAGGAGGGGGGTGAAGATTGACAAAGAAAATAAGCGAGGAAGCAAGCGCATGACGGAGGAAAGATAGTAGAGGAGAGATAATGAGGAAGGCAACAGGGAGGGGGAATCAGAGGACGAGGAAGTTGCCGACAACGCCGACGACAAAAAGAAGGACGATGAGAACCTGGAGGACGAAGAAATAGAGGACCTTACAGGAGCACGGAAGGAACAAAGGAAGGAGCAGGAGTAGGAGGAGGGTAGGCTGCTGAGGAGGGGCCGAGGAGGAGAAGGGGTGGCCGAAGAGGAGGACGATGAGGAGGATTAGCGCTACGATGAGGATCGGAATGAGGATGCGATGGCGACGAGGGAGGAGGGAGGAAAAAGAGAGTCGGGGACAAAGGATGAGGAGAGGGCGTTCGTGGGCGGAGGCTGGGAAGGGAAGAGGAGGAGGCAGGAAAGGAGGCGGCGTTCGGGGACCCCCCCCCAGCCCCTCCCTGCCGCCCACCCCATACTCCCCGTCGCTCGGACGTCCATTCCCTGTGCGTCTTTCGGTTCCGTGCGTGCTCTTGTTCGCAGGGTGAGCCAGGATGCTCCTCAACAATCCCCGCCGAGAACAAGTGCACACGTCCGAGCGATACCAAGCATAGGAGGACGACGCCCATGCACCGCACCATGTCTGGATTCCCTTCAGGCCCCGCTCCAGCGCAGCACGGTGCATAGCTGCTCGGCCCCGACGGAGGGCCGAGAGCCAAAACCGTACACCGTGCACTTCCTGCGTCACGGATGGACGACGCCTCAGGAGACGCCACCGCGGTCCGGTTCACAGGGGACATGGCGACCCCCATCCCAGGCTTCGTGGGTTCATCGGATTGACGAACAACTTGGGGCCCAAACCTGGGATAGACGATGGGGGGGGCGTCCATCCGCGATCCGGGTACGTCCGAATATCGAATAGCCCCTCTCGGGGTATATCCCAGGTTTCCCCCGGGGATGGGGGCGTACAGGTCGCCCGCAGACCCCACGCTCGCCGCGGCCAGAGTTTTTCAATACGCGGTCCCTGGAAGTCCCGACCCTTTTCCCGGAGCCGGTTCTTCATCCCGAGTCGCTCTTCGACGATGCAGGGGCCCGGTGAGCGGTGAGGGCCCCCCGAGGCCGAAAACGGCGAAAGACCTCCCGTCCTGTTTCTGTTTCGCGACGCGAGCATGTCGGGGCCCCTCCCCCCCAACGCTCGCCGTGGCCTGAGCATTCCCCCCCCTCCCTGGTAGCACGCACAAGGAGGGGGTAGAGGGAGGGGGGAGGGCTTCTTAGAAGGAGACTGCTTCTTAGGAGGCGCCAGCCCTGGGCGCCAGCCCTGCATCTGCAGATACGGCCGCACCTTCCAGCAAGCAGGGGTACTTCCAAGAAGCCCTCCCCCCTCCCCCCCTTGCCCCCCTTCTGCGCGTGGCTGAACAAGCATGTGCCCCTTCTGTTAACGGGCGAAGAACGGTATAACATAAACTTTTTCGCCGTCGGGGACACCTTCCCCAGGGCGGCTGGAAAGTTTATACCCTTACGGTGGCACCGTAGGGGTATCAACTTTCCAGCCGCCCAGGGGCAGGTGTCCCCGACGGCGAAAAAGTTTATTTTATATCGTTCTTCCCTCGCTGATTCTGGGCTCTACCCAACGTGTTTCTTTCGCCACCGTCGCGAAAGGAAGGACAAACGGCACAAGCAATAAACTGTCGGCGGTCCGGTCCGCGCAGATTGCTTGGATCTGCGCTGGGCCCAGCGCAGATCCAGCGCGGAAGGCCCAGCGCAAATCCAGGAAATCCGCGCGGACCGCCGGCAGCTGATGTTTGTGCCGCTTTTCTTTTCGACATAAGGGAAGCCAAATCCGCCGGCCCCCCTTGTGGGGCCACCAGGCTGTAGGGTTAAGGTCTGCTGTTTCCTGCGCCAGTTCCAGTTTCCAGTTTCCGCTGTTACAGTTCTGTTTCCTGCTGCTTATTGCTCCTTGTTGATGGACCGCGCGAGAGGGGGGAGCCGAAAAGTACCCTGGTTAGCGTCTCCTGGGAGGGTTCTCAGAATTTCTGAGGGGGTCGAGATTGGGCTTGGAACAGAAAACATGATCGACCCACGAACCCGGAAAGGAATATAGACATGTAAGGCATGGCAACGTTTCAAAGACACCTGATTGGGCGACGGGCAAATGCAATGCTGAATGTATCGATCTTGATGTAACGTGCCGAAGGCTGTGCTGTGCAGCGCCGTGCTGAGTTGCGATGTGCCATGCCTCGATTGTGCTCTATAGCGTTGTGGATCGAGTCCTCCTTTGCATCCGAGTCCTGACCGAACTGATCTGGATCTTAAGCTCGAGCTGCCTCAGCACATAGTAGCTGCCCCAGGGCTAATTGACAGGGGAACACGCCAGCAGGACGCGCCGCGGAACGTCCCAAGGGACGCGCCAGGCGACGTGCCAAGGGACGTGCCACGAAGACGCACCGCGGGACGTGCCGAGGGGACGCGCTACGGAGCGTGCCAATGGACGTGCCACGGGACGTGCCAGGGGACGCGCCGCGCGACGTGCCAGGGGGACTCGCCACAGGACGCGCCACGGGACGTGCCAAATTGCAATGCTGAATGTATCGACCTTGATGTACCGTGCCGAGGGCTGTGCTGTGCTGTGCAGCGCCGTGCTGAGTTGCGATGTGCCATGCCTCGATTGTGCTCTATAGCGTTGTGGATCGAGTCCTCCTTCGCATCCGAGTCCTGACCGAACTGAGCTGGATCGTAAGCTCGAGCTGCCTCAGCACATAGTAGCTGCCCCAGGGCTAATTGACAGGGAAACATGCCAGGAGGACGCGCCGCGGAACGTCCCAAGGGACGCGCCAGGCGACGTGCCAAGGGACGTGCCACGGGGACGCACCACGGGACGTGCCGAGGGGACGCGCTACGGAATGTGCCAATGGATGTGCCACGGCACGCGCTCCCAGGGCCACCATCCCTCGTAAATTACGCTGCGTCCGCGCTCCCAGGGCCACGATTCCTTGTAAATTACATTGGGGTCGCGCTCCCAGGGCCCCGACCCCTTGTAAATTATGCTGCGTCCGCGCTCCCAAGGCCACGATCCCTCGAAAATCACGCTGCGTCCGAGCCCCCAGGGCCCCGATACCTTATATTTTATGCTGCGCCCGCGCTCCAAGGGCTACGATCCCTTGTAAATTACATTGCGTCCGAGCTCCCAAGGCCCCGACCCCTTCGTAAATTACGCTGCGCCCGCGCTCCGAGGGCCACGATCCCTCGCAAATTACGCATGGTCCGCGCTCCAAACGCCACGATCCCTCGTAGATTACGCCGCGTCCACGCTCCCAGGGCCTCCTGGGGCTTGCTGGGGCGCCCAGGTCCTTCAAGTTTTGCAAAACAAGCGTTTCGCTCGAGACATCCTCGATGTTTTGGCGCGGGGGGCGCGCCATCCTCGAGCGGGCATGTAAAAAGTCAATATTTTTACATGTTTTGTGTCCCGGTCGGGGCTCCAGACTTCAGTTTTTCTTCAAGATTCTGCTAAATATGCCCCGCACCCTCTTTCTTACAAAAGAAAACGGTGCTCCGCGGACCCCGTTAATTATCAAGGATCCGAGGTGGGGGGCCGACTTTCCTCGAGCGGGCACGCGCGAAACGCATTTGTTTCACGTCAAATTTGAATTTACCTAATTTTTTTCATCGAGCGGAAATCCGCCGGCCTCCTTCAAGTCAAAACCAGGGGTAAATGATCTCAGTGCGACCCTACCTAGGAGTTGGAGCCCCTAGGAAAGCAGCATTAGTAGTAGCAGTAAAGCTCAGCTAAAGCTAAGCTAAAGCTAAGCTAATGTTAAGCTTAAGCTAAATCTAAGCTGAAGCTAAGCTAAAGCTAGGCTAAAGCTAAGCTAACGCTAAGCTACATCTAAGCTAAAGCTAAGCTAAAGCTAGGCTAAAGCTAAAACAAGTCTAAGCTAACGTTGAGCTAAAGCTAAGCTAAAGCTAAGCTAAAGCTAAGCTAAATCCGCCGACCCCTTGGGGTTCATCGGCGTGTGAGATGTTCCCCCTCCCCAAACCCCTCCCCCGGGAGCCCGGTCCGGTCCATTTGGAGGGGGGGGGGGGGGTCCGGCCGGACGGGCCGGACGGGCCGGAACCCCCCGGAGGTCTCATCCGCTCCCGAAAAACGTGGAAAAACACGTGAAATTCGTGTAGGGACGCGTCTGGTGGCCTCGAAATGGGTTTGGGACGCCCCACGAGCGCTCCAAGACGTCCAAGTTTGCCCGAAGACGGGCCACGAGGCGTCCTCGACGGCAGAAGAGGTCCCCACGAGCTCCCCCGAGGGCCTCCGAGATGCGTTCCACAAGGGTCCCTAGACGCCAAAATTGGGCCATTCCCTTCGTGAAATGTACATTTTAAAAAATTCAGCTTTGGATCTTTCCGATGCTCCCCGACGGCCCAAGAGGCTCCCAAACCCGCTCCCAGACGGCCCCAGAAGCCTCGCAGAGGGTCCCCCACAGACCCCTAGAGGGCCCAAGATGGGCCAACAGGCGTCCAAGACGGCCCAAGAGGGCTCCGAAAACGGCCCCAAAAGCGTTCCAGGAGCGCTCCGAGTTGCTTCCCCGAAGCTCCACATGGTCCCAGACGGTCCAAGAGCGATCAGAAACATCGACGACGACCTCCCGACGGCTCACGAGGCCTCCCCAGACGCCCCCACATGCATCCAAGATTCCCCCCAAGAGGCCCTCTAGACGCAAAAAATCGTTTGATTCCTTCGTAAAACGTACATTTTTTCACACGTGCGCTTTTGGGGGTGACGAAAAACGTTCAAAAAAAAAACACATGAAATTCGTGTAGGGACGCGTCTGGTGGCTTCGAAATGGATTTGGGACGCCCCACGAGCGCTCCAAGACGTCCAAGTTTGCCCGAAGACGGGCCACGAGGCGTCCTCGACGGCAGAAGAGGTCCCCACGAGCTCCCCCGAGGGCCTCCGAGATGCGTTCCACAAGGGTCCCTAGATGCCAAAATTGGGCCATTCCCTTCGTGAAATGTACATTTTAAAAAATTCAGCTTTGGATCTTTCCGATGCTCCCCGACGGCCCAAGAGGCTCCCAAACCCGCTCCCAGACGGCCCCAGAAGCCTCGCAGAGGGTCCCCCACAGACCCCTAGAGGGCCCAAGATGGGCCAACAGGCGTCCAAGACGGCCCAAGAGGGCTCCGAAAACGGCCCCAAGAGCGTTCCAGGAGCGCTCCGAGTTGCCTCCCCGAAGCTCCACATGGTCCCAGACGGTCCAAGAGCGATCAGAAACATCGACGACGACCTCCCGACGGCTCACGAGGCCTCCCCAGACGCCCCCACAGGCATCCAAGATTCCCCCCAAGAGGCCCTCTAGACGCAACAAATCGTTTGTTTCCTTCGTAAAACGTATATTGTTTCACACGTGCGCCTTTGAGGGTGACCCCCGCTCCTGCACGGCCCCAGAGCCCCCCAAACCCGCTCCCAGACGGTCCAAGACGCCTCCAAGAGGGTCCGTACATAGCCCTCGAGGGCCCCAAGACGCGCCAACACACGTCCAAGACGGCCCAGAAGGGCTCCGAAAACGGCTCCGAGAGCGCTCCAGGAGCGGTCCGAGTGGCCTCGAAGAGAGCTCCACATGGTCCTCGACCGTCCAAGGGCGATCAAAAACGCTGACGACGGCCTCCAAACGGCTGAAGAGGCCCCCAAGACGCCCCAAGAGGCATCCACGATGCGCCCACAGAGGGCCTCTAGACGCAAAAAATCCTTCGTTTCCTTCGTCAAACGTATATTGTTTCACACGTGCGCCTTTTGGGGTGTCCCCCGCTCCTGGACGGCCCCAGGGCCACCCAAACCCGCTCCCAGACGGCCCAAGACGCCCCCAAGAGGGTTCCCACAGAGCCCTCGAGGGCCCCAAACGCGCAAACACACGTCCAAGACTACCCAAAAGGGCTCCGAAAACGGCTCCGAGAGCGCTCCAGGAGCGGTCCGAGCGGCCTCGACGAGAGCTCCACATGGTCCTCGACGGTCCAAGAGCGATCCAAAACGCTGACGACGGCCCCCCGACGGCTGCAGAGGCCCCCCAAGACGCCCCACGAGGCTTTCACTATGCGCCCCTGGAGGGCCTCTCGCTGTATAAAATCGCCCGTTCTCTTCGTAAAACGTGTATTTTTCGTACGTGCGCCTTCTGGGGCGCTCCGGGGCGGCCCGAGAGCCTCCCAAGACCGCACCAAGACGGTCCAAGAAGCCTCCACGAGGGCCCCGCGACAGGAGAAGGAGGGGGGGGGAGGAGGAGCAGGAGGAGGAGAAGGAGGAGGAGGAAGAGGACAAGGAGGGGGAGGAAGAGGAGGAGAAGGCCGGGAAGGGAAGGGGGATAAGGAGGAGGAGAAGGCGGGGGAGGAGGAGGAGGAGGAGGAGGAGGAGGAGGAGGAGGAGGAGGAGGAGGAGGAGGAGGAGGAGGAGGAGAGGGACGAAGGGCGGGAGGAGGAACAGCAGGAGAAGGACAAGAAGGAGGAGGAGAAGAAGGCGGGGAAGGGAAGGGAAGAAGGACGTGGACGAGGAGGAGGAGGAGGAAGGGCAGGAGAAGGAAGAGGAGGAGAGGCAGAAAGAGGAGCAGGAGGGAGGAGCAGGGGGAGGAGGAGAGGAGGAGAGGGAGCCGATCATCGTCATCAGTGTCGTGATCATCAACGACGTCATTGCCATCGACAAGGTCAGCCCAAACATCTCCGAACATTAACAGTTAGCGGGACATCCCGCTTGGAAACCGCCGACAACCGTAAGATGTCTCCGGGGTGTAACATACTTCCCTGGCTCCGGCACCCGTGCAAGGCCCCAAACACAACCCAAAAAACCTCCCTGTGCCGTTTTGGGGTTCGCTTGGGCCGTCTGGAAGCCCTCTGGGCCAGTTTGCGACCCATGTCGGCTCCCCTTCTCGCTGTGACGGGCCCTGAACAACCTCATTTTCCCACGGTTTGCAAGGAAGCTGTGGTGAACGATCCCGGGGAAAATCCAAGGGGTCGGCGGATGTGGCGGAAGCCTGAAGAATCTAAGCTACAGCTAAGCTAAAGCTAAGCTAACGCTAGGCTAAAGCTAAGCCAAAGCTAAGGTAACGTTAAGCTAAAGCTAAGCTAAAGCTAAGCTAAAGCTAAGCTAAAGCTAAGGCAAAGCTACGCTAAGCTAAGCTAAAGCTAAGCAGCTGAAGCTAAGCTACAGCTCCCAGGGGACTGGGGGAACCGCTCCCAGGGGACTGGGGGAACCGCCCGGGGCGGGTTCCACTGCCCGGCCCTTTAAGCTAACCGAGTAAGAACCCTTCTAGGCAGAGCCTAGGTAGGGAACTGATTGAAAAAGAAAGCACCTTGGGCCCCAGCCCTTTCCGGGAAAAATGCATTAACTTCGCGCCCCCGAGGCCATCAACCCTCGTAAATTACAATATTCGCGTCCCCGAAGCCATAAACCCTCTCGAATTACACAAGATCCGCGTCCCCGAGGCCATAAACCTTTGTGAATTACCCCGCATTCGCGTCCCCGAAACGATAAAACCGTTGCAGCATACGCCATGTTCGTGTCCCCGAAGCCACAAACCTTTCTACGTTACATAACACTTGCGCACTTGCGTCCCCGAGGCCACAGGCGCTTGCAAGTCACACGAGATTCGCGTCCTCGAAGCCATAAACCTTCGTAAAGCACGCAATGTTCGCGTCTCCGAAACCATAAACCCTGGTAACTTACTCAACATGTGCGTTCCCGATGCAATGAACCAATGAACATGATTTAATACCCGCGTCCCCGAGGCCAACCCCCCCCCCCCCGCAAATTATACTATATTCACGTATCCGAAGCTGGAAACCTTCGTAAATGATGCAATCGCCGTGCTCCGAAGCCATAAACCTGTGTAAATTACGCCATATCTGCTACCCCGAAGCCATGAACCCTTATTGCTTACGCTGCATGTGTGTGTGTCCGAAGCCATACAGCCCCGTACATTACGCAATGTTCGCGTCTCCGAAGCCATACACCTGCGTAAATTGCACTATATCTGCGACCCCGAAGCCATAACCCCTCGCAACGTATTCTATATTCGCGTATCATCACCGTTCGAAATGCAACTCGGAGTTCAACAATATCATCAGAATCTCAATTTCTCTTGCCGATGCTGCTTCACGGCGGCGCCGAGGCCTCATGATTTAGCTCTTGCATAGCCCATTATCCGAGAGAGGGGGCCCGCGGCAGGTGGCGAAGCCCTTACGGATAAGGAATCGAAGCCCTCTGCGCGCGGCTGACACTCAACCTGACGGCACCCCCCGACTTTCTGGCAACGCCCGACCTATGTGGGCGCTGCTCTCCGGCTTGGGGAAGAAGTGCCTCAGCGGGTCGCCGCGGGTGAGATGCACCTCTGGAGAAACAACAGGCCCTCCCCCCTCCTCCTGCTCGTCCTTCACCTCGTCTTCCTCCATCCTCTATCCTCCTCCTCCTCCCTGCCTCCCTCCCTCCCTCCCTCCCTCCCTCCCTCCTCCACCTCCTCCTCCTCTTCCTCCTCCTCCTCCTCCTCCTCACTCCTCCTCACTCTCCTAATCCTCCTCCTTCCTCTCCTCCTTCTCTCCCCTCCTCCTCCTCCTCCTCTTCCTCCTCCTCCTCCTCCTCCTCCCTCCTCCTCCTCCTGCTCCTCCTCCTCCTCCTCGTACTCTGCTTAGTCTGATTAATATGAATAATATTAGGTGTTACGTTTATTACTCGTTGTATTCTTCTCACGATTAAGTATAAGTCTCATTATTCCTATTGTGATTATTATTATTCCTCCTCCTCCTCCTCCTCCTCCTCCTCCCCCCTCCTCCCTCCCTCCCTCCCTCCCTCCCTCCCTTCCTCCCTCCAACCCTCCCTCCCTGCCTCCCCCCTCCCTTTCTCCCTCCCTTCCTCTTCCCATCCCTCCCTCCCCCCCTTTCCCCCCTCCTCCATTTTTTCTCCTTCTAGATAAATCCCCCCTGTCGCACCCCAAAGCCAGTTTTTAGGGCGGGCCGGGCGTTTCGCATCAGACGTCCTCACCATTTACGACTCTGAAGCTTAAACAGTGGCAACAGCTTCAAACATGGAAAGCGGGTCGGTTTCAAAATGTGGCTCTCGCCTTAGCGCTGCGCACATTCGTTTTCAAAAGTGAAACAGCTTCACGGATCGAGGGCGGGTCGTTTTTAAAATGTGGTTCTCGCCTTGGCGCCGCGCACACTCGTTTTCAACATTGGAAGAGCTTCGCGGATTGAGGGCGGGCCGTTTTCAAAATGTGGCTCTTGCCTCAGCGCCGCGCACATTCGTTTCAAACATTTGCAAGAACTTCACGGGTTGAGAGCGGGTGGTTTTCAAAATGTGGCTCTCGCCTTAGCGCCGCGCATGTTCGAATTAAAAGTTTGCAAGAGCGTCACGGATTGAGGGCAGCTCCTTTTCAAAATGTGGCTCTCGCATTAGCGCCGCGCACATTGTTTTTGAACATTTACAAGAGTTTCACGGATTCCCATGATCAGCGTACCAAAAATCGTGTTTAGGACAGCTCCCTCAATGGAAATGAACCGTTGTAGGGGCCTATGACGAGGGAGCTTGGAGGGAGCGTCAATTCCGACATCGTCGATGACCCTTGGGTTTACAGTAGTCCTCCTCCACCTCCTCCTCCTCCTCCTCCTCCTCCTCCTCCTCCTCCTCCTCCTCCTCCTCCTCCTCCTCCCCCCCGCCTCCCTCCCTCCCTCCCTCCCCCCCCCCTCCTCCCCCCCCCCTCCTCCTCCTCCTCCTCCTCCTCCTCCTCCTCCTCCTCCTCCTCATCATCATCATCATCGTCATCATCATCAGCAGCAGCATCATCAGCATCATCATCAGCATCCTCATCATTGTCATCATCAGCAGCATCATCATCATCAGCAGCATCATCAGCCGCCTCATCACCATCATCACCATCATCATCAGCAGCAGCATCGTCATCACCACCACCATCAGCATCATCATCATCACAATCAGCATCCGCATTATCATCGTTATCAAAGTCATCAGCAGCATCATCATCAGCATCAGCAGCAGCATCATAACCATCATCACCACCATCATCATCAGCAGCATCAGCAGCATCAGCTGCATCATCAGCAGCATGATCATCAGAATCAGTAACCTCGGCAGAGGCATCACCTCTTCCTCCTCCTCCTCCTCCTCCCCTTCCTCCTCCTTCTCCTCTCCTTCCCCCTCATCCTCATCCTCATCCTCCCCCTCCTCCTCCTCCTCCTCCTCCTCCTTCTCCTCCTCCTCCTCCTCCTCCTCCTCTTCCTCCTCCTCCCCCTCCTCCTCCTCCTGAGCCTCCTCCTCCTCATCCTTCTCCTCCTCCTCCTCCTCCTCCTCCCCCTCCTCCCCCTCCCCCTCCCCCTCCCCCTCAGTCTCGTTCTCCCCCTCCTCTTCCTCCTCCTGAGCCTCCTCCTCCTCCTCCTCCTGTTCCTCCTCTTGCTATCCTTCTCAACCTCCTCCTGATCCGTCTCCTCCTCCTTCTCCTACTCCATCCTCGCTCCTCCCTCCTCCCTCCTCCCTTCTCCCTCCTCCCTGCTTCCTCCTCCCTCCTCCCTCCTCCCTCCTTCCTCTTCCGCCTCCTCCTCCGCCTGCTCCTTTTCCTCCTCCTCCTCCTCCTCCGCCTCGTCTTCCTCCTCCTCCTCTTCCTTCTCCTCCTCAATTCCTTGTCTTTATACATGACGTCTCCCTGTCGCACCACGAGGCAAGTTTTTAGGGCGGGCCGGGCGTTTCGCCTGAGACGTCCTCACCATTTAATGTACGACAACTTCACAGATGGAGCGAGGGTGGTTTTCACAATATGGCTCTCGCCTTAGCGCCGCGCACATTCGAACACAATTGCAAGAGTTCTACGGATCGAGGACGACCCGTTTTCAAAATGTGGCTCTCGCCTTAGCGCTGCGCACATTCGCTTTACACATCTGCAAGAGCTCAACGGATTGAGGGCGACCCGTTTTCGAAATGTGACTCTCGCCTCAGCGCTGCGCACATTCGTTTAAACAATTGTAAGAATTCTACGGATCGAGGACGACCCGTTTTCAAAATGTGGCTCTCGCCTCATCGCCGCGCACATTCGTTTTACACATCTGCAAGAACTCCTTGGATTGAGGGAGACCCGTTTTCAAAATGTGGCTCTCGCCTTAGCGCTGCGCACATTCGTTTGAAACATTGGAAGAGTTCCACGGATTGAGGGCGTGCCGTTTTCAAAATGTGGCTCTCGCCTCAGCGCCGCGCATATTCGTTCGAATGATTTGTAACAGGTCCACGAATTCCCATGATCAACGCACCAGACATTGTGTTTTAGAAAGATTCAGGGTTAGGAGGGCGCAACAATTAATTTGATTCGCGGCGTTGAAATCCCGATAATGGCGTTGTGGCACAAATCCGGATCGTCAAGACGCAACAATAGATGGATCCGTGGCGTTGGAATCCCGAGAACGTGGCATGCTTCAGGGTATTCAAACGGATGTCTTCCAACGAAACGAGACCGTTCCCTCTGTGAAACTGAACCGTTGTATGGGGTCTACGAAGAGGAAGCTTGGAGGGAGGGTTTATTCCATCATCGTTGATGACTCTTGGGTTTCATCTGGTCCTCCTCTTCCTCCTCTTCCTGCTCCTGCTCCTACTCCGGCTACTCCTCCTCCTCCTCCTCCTCCTTCTCCTCCTCCTCCTCCTTTTCCTTCTCCTTCTCCTTCTCCTTCTCCTTCTCTTTCTCCTCTTTCTCCTCCTCCTCCTCCTCGCTCCTCCTCCCTCCTCCCTCCTCCTCCTCCTCCTCGCTCCTCCTCCTCGCTCCTCCTCCTCTCCTCCTCCTCCTCCTCCTCCTCCTCCTCCTGCCTCCTCCTCCTCCTCCTCCTCCTCCTCCTCCTCCTCCTCCTCCTCCTCTCCTCCCTTCCTCCTCCTCATCCTCCTCCTCCTCCTCCGCCTTCGCCTCCGCCTGCGCCTCCGCCTCCCCCTTCTGCTCCTGCTCCTGCTGCTCCTCCTCTCTCTCCTCCTCCTCCTCCTCCTCCTCCGCCTTCCCTCCCCCCCCCCCTCATTAGAGAGTCAATAACAAGCATAAACCTAACTTCAGGAGCGCCACACGGATTTTGCATCTGCGCTGGAACCCCCCCTTCCTGGCGCGCGGAGCGCGCCAGGGACGGCGCCGCCAGGGGGCCCAGTGCAGATGCCAGAAATCCGTGCGGAGTTCCGAAGGTTTATGATTGTGCAGTTTCTCCTCTTCTCCGAGCCTCGAAAGGGGGGCGCAGGTGCCCGGTCAAGTTCCGCCAGGTCGAGTGCCAGGGCCCCGGGTTGTTGAACGAGACCCCTGGCTTCAAGACTCGACCCAAACGGTGATCTTCGCTCTCGTCCTGTTTTCCTTGTCCTTCGTTTATTCTTCGTCCAGCCCTTTGCTGCAAAACGAAGTCGAAACGAAAACTGTGTTCGAGAGCGCCAAAACACTGCTTAGGTCGAGCTCTGCCTGGCTCCCCGCACAGGGAAGCCACGCACTCGGCGAGGAAGCCGCCGAGCGAGTGCCCGCACACGTACATGAAGCTGTGGGGGTAGCGCTGCCTGCAGTGCTTGCAGAAGGACACGGCCTGCTTGACCGCTCTCCTGGGCGCGAAGGAATGAAGGGGCCCCAGGACACACAAATAAATACACACAAATAAAAATATTCCCCATATTTTCCCATATTTTCTGGGTGTTTGTCTTCCCCCCCACTTCCCATACTTTCCCATCTTTTCTGGGGAATCGAGGATCAATTGTGTCTGTGTGTTTTTTCCTCTCCTGAACAACGTCCACCGCTGGAGACGAGGAACACAACCAGGAGGGAACGCTGCAGAAGGGACGTGGGAAGAAGGAGGAGGCAGGGGCCCCGGGGGGCAGCGAGGAGGGGGGCAGGGAGGAGGGAGGAGGACAGATCGAAGATAACTAAGAGGACCCAGGCGCCCGTGCTACCATCTGTGTTACTGTCTTGCACAATGCTGGTGCTTGGCCTGACCTGTCTTTTATCGGGCGCTGCGCTCCGAATCGTGTTTTCCCTAACCCTCCCTGGTTGGGTACTCCAGATTTCGTAATAAAGGGAGGGGGGGTCTCATTTCGGGGGGGGTCTCTTCCAGGCTCTCTTGGATGGCCTGGGGGGGGTCTGGGGACGATGTTTTGGAAGGTTCTCCCACGGGGGGGGTCTAAAACTTCTCGTCTGGGAGGGTTGAGACCCCCTCCCATTTATTACGAAATCTGGAGTATTCGTTTTGAATAGACGGGTGTGGCCGCGTCCCTCCTCCTTCTCCTCCCGCCTCCCGCCTCCTCCTGCCCTCTCTTCGCCGACGATGGGGGCTGCGATCTGCGAAACTGTTGCCACTTTCGAGGGCTGCTGGTGGGTCCTGCGGAGTGACGCACCGCGCGGATCTGAGCGAGACCTCGCCGTCCCTGGGGGGCTGCGATCTGCGAAGCTGTCCCCGCTTTCGAGGGCTGCTGGTGGGCCCTGCGGAGCGAGGCACCGCGCAGATCTGAGCGAGACCTCGCCGTCCCTGGGGGGCTGTGATCTGCGAAACTGTCGCCACTTTCCAGGGCTGCTGGTGGGTCCTGCGGAGTGAGGCACCGCGCGGATCTGAGCGAGACCTCGCCGTCCCTGGGGGGCTGCGATCTGCGAAGCTGTCGCCACTTTCGAGGGCTGCTGGAGGGTCCAGCGGAGTGAGGCACCGCGCGGATCTGAGCAAGACCTCGCCGTCCCTGGGGGGCCGCGATCTGCGAAGCTGTCGCCACTTTCCACGGCTGCTGGTGGGTCCTGCGGAGTGAGGCACCGCGCTGGTCTGTGGCGAGACCTCGCCGTCCCTGGGGAGCTGCCATCTGCGAAACTGTCGCCACTTTCGAGGGCTGCTGGTGGGTCCTGCGGAGTGAGGCGCAGCGCGGATCTGAGCGAGACCTCGCCGTCCCTGGGGGGGCTGTGATCTGCGAAACTGTTGCCACTTTCGAAGGCTGCTGGGGGGTCCTGCAGAGTGAGGCACCGCGCGGATCTGAGCGAGACCTCACCGTCCCTGGGGGGCTGCGATCTGCGAAGCTGTCGCCGTTTTCGGAGACTGCTGGTGGGCCCTGCGGAGTGGGGCACCGCGCGGATCTGAGCGAGACCTCGCCGTCCCTGGGGGGCTGTGATCTGCGAAACTGTAGCCAGTTTCGAGGGCTGCTGGTGGGTCCTGCGGAGTGAGGCACCGCGCGGATCTGAAGGGGGCCTCGCCGTCCCTGGGGGGCTGCGATCTGCGAAACTGTCCCCGCTTTCGAGGGCTGCTGGTGGGCCCTGCGGAGCGAGGCACCGCGCTGATCTGAGCGAGACCTCGCCGTCCCTGGGGGGCTGCGATCTGCGAAGCTGTCGCTACTTTCCAAGGCTGCTGGTGGGTCCTGCGGACTGAGGCACCGCGCAGATCTGAGCGAGACCTCGCCGTCCTGGAGGGCTGCGATCTGCGAAGCTGTCGCCACTGTCGAGGGCTGCTGGAGGGTCCAGCGGAGTGAGGCACCGCGCGGATCTGAGCGAGACCTCGCCGTCCCTAGGGGGCTGCGATCTGCGAAACAGTCGCCGCTTTCGAGGGCTGCTGGTGGGTCCAGCGGGGTGAGGCACCGCGCAGATCTGAGCGGGACCTCGCCGTCCCTGGGGGGCTGTGATCTGCGAAACTGTCGCCACTTTCGAAGGCTGCTGGTGGGTCCTGCGGGGTGAGGCACCGCGCAGATCTGAGCGGGACCTCGCCGTCCCTGGGGGGCTGCGATCTGCGAAACTGTCGCAAGTGTCGAGGGCTACTGGTGGGTCCTGCGGGGTGAGGCACAGCGCGGATCTGAGCGGGACCTCGCCGTCCCTGGGGGGGCTGCGATCTGCGAAACTGTCGCCACTTTCGAGGGCTGCTGGTGGGTCCTGCGGGGCGAGGCACCGCTCGGATCTGAGCGGGACCTCGCCGTCCCTGGGGGGCTGCGATCTGCGAAACTGTAGCCACTTTCGAGGGCTGCTGGTGGGTCCAGCGGAGTGAGGCACCGCGCGGATCTGAGCGAGGCCTCGCCGTCCCTGGGGGGCTGCGATCTGCGAAGCTGTCGCCACTTTCGAGGGCTGCTGGTGGGTCCTGCGGAGTGAGACACCGCGCAGATCTGAGCGGGACCTCGCCGTCCCTGGGGGGCTGCGATCTGCGAAACTGTCCCCGCTTTCGAGGGCTGCTGGTGGGGGAGGGGGTCCTCCTCCACCTCCTCCTCCTCCTCCTCCTCCTCCTCCTCCTCTTCGTCCTCCTCCTCCTCCTCCTTCCCCCCTCCAACGTATGGCGGTGGTTGTGGAAAACAGGCCCATCAGCCGTGCCTGGTTCTCGGGCGTCTTGGCCTCGCCGCGTGCGAGCGCTTTCTTTCTCTGCCCTCTCCGCGGCCGTCTCTCCTCTTCTTCCCTCCCCTTGCATAAGCCTCCGAGATGGTGTCGGAGTAGATGGGGTCGGGGGATCGCGCCGCATCGCCGATACGTCGCGGTGCCTCGGCGATGCATCGTCGACATCGGCGATGCATCGGCGACGTCGACGTGAAGCAAATCGGGCTGCACATCGAGCCGCATCGCCGATGCATCGGCGATGCGGCGCGATCCTCCGACCCCACCTACCCTTAGGTCGGGCATGTCCCCCTACAGGCGGATTTGGGACGAAAAACAAAAAAGCACTCCAAACAGATTTGAAAGCAGATTCAACAAATACTAGACAGATCGTCCCCTGGCTTGTTTCAACTACTTTTTAATATTCCTCCTGTAGAGGGACAGGCCCGACTTAAACCTACCCCGAACCCATCCAAGAGGCCTAGATGCGGCGGTGGACAAACCTCCCTTTCGTAGACCTCCCCTTAGTGAAAACGGCCTGGGACCGAAACCGACGGACTTGTACCCGCAAAAATGACGGCCGCGACGCCCTCTCGCGAACCGAAAACGGCAAATTTCTTAATCGACGTGTCCACCCCCGATAGATGCACGCGGGGCACTTCACAGCACCGCAGCCCGCGCTGCCAGGGCGCGCGTGCGGACGGCCTCTGCCGCGCTGCAGCGCAGAACGGTTCATTTAAAGACGCCTAAGACGTCTGGGGGAGAGGATCGGCTGCACGTCGCGAGGTGTGAGGCTGGGGCTAAGTCGGGCGTGTCCCCCTACATGCGGATTTTGCATGAAAAATAAAAAAGAATTAACACATGCCCCAAAACATGTTCAAACATAATCGAAAAATAGTCCCCAGACTATTGCTTGAGAATTTTCGAATATTCCCCCTGTAGAGGGACAGACCCGACTTAGCCCTGGGCGAGAGTGACATCTGGTGCGCGGCTTCCGGTGTGGAAGGGAGCCGCTGTGCTGTCGCATCGCACTCGGCGATCTGGAGACCCCAGTGGGCCCGCACCAGAAGGCTGATGGGCCTGTTTTCCACCACCGCCACCACCATCAGTTGGAGGGGGAGGGAGTCCTCCTCCTCTTCCTCCTCCACCTCCTCCTCCTCCTCCTCCTCCTCCTCCCCTTTTCCATGCCGTCCATCCTGTCATATGTCCTAGCTCGGCGCGTCGCTTCATGTGCTCGGTGCTCCTCCCGTCGCTTCATGTGCTCGGTGCTGCTCCTCCTCCTCCTCCTCCTCCTCCTCCTCCTCCTCCTCCTCCTCCTCCTCCTCCTCCTCCTCCCCTTTCCCCCCTCCAACCTATGGTGGTGGTGGTGGTGGTGCGCAACGGGCCCAGCAGAGGCCGCTCCAGCGGCGAAGGGGCACTCCTTCGTGCAGCCGCGGCGGTAAGGCCTCGGGCTGCGCGCGTCCAGCCCCCCCCCCAGGCTTATGTCGGGCCTGTCCCCCTACAGGGGGATGTTCGACGAAAAATAAAAAAAAAAAAAAAACACTCCAAAAATAATCAAGATATAATCCACAAATAGTCTGGGGACTATTTTTTTGAGTAGTGTTTTACCTTCTTGGACTATGTTTGGGGTACTTTTTAGTTTTCGTCGAATCCACCTGTAGGGGGACACGCCCGACATAAGTCTGGCCTTAAGTCGGGCCTGTCCTTCTACAGGAAGACTGTTCAAAAACAGTAGAAACATAGTCCGGGTACGATTTTGTTGAGCATCTTTTTCTATTTCGTTCGCAATCCCCGCGTAAGGGGACATAACCCCAGGCTGCCCCGGCTGGTCTCGCCAGGCCCTGCGAGCAGCCCGGGGCGGCCGCAGCACCGACAAAAACCCTGGGGCGCGGAGCGCTCCAGGGGCGCCGCGGGGAGCGCCAGCTCGGACAGCCGGGGGCCCAGACCCCCTCGAGCAACGAAACAAAAATCATGACGGAAGGCTGTTCTTGAGTTTCGGCCTCCCTGGGGGCCCTCGCCGGGCCTCGGGAGCGTCAGAAAACGACTCGGGATGCAAAGCCAGTCATGGGGCAAGGGTCGAGACCTCTGGGGGTCGACGTGATGAACAGATCATTACGTCGGGGGTCTGGGGGGGGGGAGCTGTCTGTGTGAAGCCCGAAGCCTTACCAGAGGAAGACTGGGCTCCGTATGATGGGCCCCGAGATCAGGCGGCCGTCCACCACCTGGAACGCGCCCCTCCGGGAGGCCATGCCCCGCAGCGCCACGACCACCACGTCGGCAGCGCCGTCCTCATGTGCGCAAGCGGAGGAGGAGGAGCTCAGGGAAGGAGGGGAAGGAGCTTGGGGAAATAAGAAGTGGACGAGGAGGAGCGTCCCGGGAAAGGACGACGACGACGAGGAACATAAAGACGGACACGACCACGACGACGACGACGACGAAAACGACGACGACGACCACGACGACAGACGACGACGAACGACAACGGCGGACGACAAAAACGTCAAGGCCCAGAGAGACGAAGACGGACGACGGACGACGGGCGACGGCGACGGACGACGAAGACGACGACGACGACGGCGACGGACGAGGACGAGAACGACGACAAGGAACAAGAAGACAAACACGACAACGACGACGACGACGACAACGACGACCACTACCAAGACGACAGACGACGACGACCGACGACGGCGGACGACAAACGTCAACGACGAGCGAGACGGATGCCGGACGACGGACGACTGACGACGGACGACGACGACGACAAACGACGACGACGACGAACGACGCCGCCGCCGACCACGACGACGACGACGACGACAACGACGGAACACGGACGACGGACGACGGATGACGGACGACTGAAGACGGACGACGGACGAAGACGACGACGACGACGACGACGACGACGACGACGACGACGGCGGCGGCGACGAAGACGACGACGACGACGATGACGGACGATGACGACGACGACGACGACGACGACGACGACGACGACGACGGACGACAGACGACGCACAACGGACGACGGACGACGGACGACGACGGCGACGACGACGATCACGACGACGATGACGACGACGACGGCAACGACCAACGACGACGAAGACGACGACGCGAAACACGCAAACAAACACCACGACGACGGGCACGACGGACGACGAACGAAGACGACGAGGATGAACACGATGACGAAGACGACGACGACGATGACGGACGACGGACGACGAACAACTGACGACGACGACGACCGACGACGACGACGACGACGACGACGACGACGACGACGACGACGACGACGACGGCGGCGGCGGCGGCGGCGGCGGCGACGACGACGACGGGCGACGAACGACGACACGACAACGAACGACCATGGCGGGGAGGTTGACGAACGCAGAGGAGCAGGCGGAGGAGAAGGAGGAGGAGCATGAGGAGGAAGAAGAGCGATGGAGGAGGAGGAGGAGGAGAAGGAGGAGGAGAGGAGGAGGAAATGGAGGAGGAGTGGGAGAGGGAGGAGGAGGAGGAGGAGGCGGAGGAGGGGGAGCAAGAGGAGGAGGAGGAGGAGGAGGAGAGGAGAACCAGGAGCAGGAGCAGGATGAGATGGAGGAGGAGATGGAGGAGGAGGAGGAGCAGGAGGAGGACTTCTTCTTTTGGGACTTCTTTTGTGGGGGGGTGGCGCGCGTCGCGGCCCCCCGCCAGGAGGAGGAGGAGGAGGAGGAGGAGGAGGAGGAGGGTGGAGGAGGAGGAGGAGGAGAGGAGGAAAAGAAAGGGCATGAAACCGCGCCGACCGCACCCGTCCTCCAGCACGTAGCAAGCCGCCTGAATGGACATCCCGGACCTCGGGGGCCGGGAGGGGACGCAGCAGTCGGAGCGTGTCCACAAGAACGGACGTCGGCAGCTCGCCCAGGGGGGTGGCGCGCTTCATCCCGTCGCAGCCCGCGCGTGCGATTCCAGGAGAGCAGGCGCGGGAGGAGGCGACTCTCGTGCATTCGAAGGGGACCCTCTGGGATCAGGATGGGGCATCTGCTACGGTCTGGATGTGTGTATCCCTGCCCATCGATGTGGCGACGTGGCCCCGAGGGCCTGAGCAGGCAGGAGGGCGCCTTAGAAACAGGAACCTTCTTCGAAGCGCCCGGATGCTTCTGAGCAGGCGTCTCGGGAGCCTTTCGGAGCGCCCCGTAGAAGGTCCCATGCCTTCTCTCAGAAGCCCCCTGACTTTGAAATACCGCCCCCCTCGCGCCCCCCTGGGGCGCACCGGCAAGCATGGCGATCACCCTCGCGCCACCCCCTGGGGCGCACCGGCAAGCATGGCGATCACCCCATTCGACCTTGGAGGGCCGTTCTCGAGCCTCGTGGCCGTCAGAGATCGGCTCGGGGGAAAACGCTCGCCCTGAGGAAGGGGTCGGCATTGCAAAAAGTCGGGACATCGGATGCCTGGGGAGGGGCCGGTCGGGGCGGCGGCAGCGCGGTCCATAAGAGCGTGGGCCAGCCGGTGGAGTCCCAAACCCGGATAGCGGAGCGCCAGAAGGGCCTTCCAACGCCTCGCGAAGGGGCTCTGAAAGCTCTCGGAAGGAGCTTCCGCAGAAGCTTCTGGAACCCTTGACGGCACACACACACACACATTCTGAAGACATAAGAGCGTGGGTCAACAGCATGGGCCTCCCTGCGACAGGACCACGAACCCTCGATGAGATTCGCCCAGAGCGAAGAATGTGCCAAGTTGAAGAGCCCAGACACGAAGCACACACGGGTGCGCATCTCCCAAAGCTGGGAAAACTGCAAGCCTCTGCGCTCCAGCTCCCGCTCCCTCCCTCCAGAAGCAAGATGGGAGGATCGGGGTTCGCGGATCCAGGCGGTCACGCTCTCTGTCCTTCCAGGTGGCCGCGGCCTCTGGGGACCCCATCGTGGCTGCGGCTGGATCCGCCTCGAAATCCAGGCCAGGACGCGCCCGAGGGGGGCTCTGGGGACCGACCTTGAGGAAGAGGGCCCCGACCTGTGGCGGCTCACCCTCCTCCCTCAAGGGGCAACGTCGGGGGGGGGGGGGGGGAACTGGCCCAGGGGGGGGGAAGCATCGGCCTGGAACCGGCGACACACCGCCGACGGCTCGGCGACAGCTCGCCGACGGCGAGTCTGCACGCTCCTGGGCCGGGTGGGCTGTCGGGCCCCTGTCGGCGAGAAGCGGGCGATTGGGGCATCGCCCCCCTGAGCCTGCGCCTCCCTGCCACTCCCTCCCTCCATTCCACTCCCCTCCCTGCCAGCACCTCCGCTCCCCCACTCCCTCCACTCCCCTCCCTCCACTCCCCTCCCTCCGCTCCCCTCCCTCCACTCCCCCCCCTGCCATTCCTTCCCCCGCCCGCTCCTGCGACGGTTCCAGTGAGGGGTCCCGTGCGGGCCCGGCGGTCTGCACCACCTGGTCCTCCACGATCCAGCCCTCCCCGTTCAGGGGTGGGTCGAGGAGCCCGAAGTACTCCTTGTTGACCCACCTCGGGCTCCCCAGAAATGCCGCAGCAAGAACGGAATTCCGCACTCCTTCCCCTTTGCTCCCCTGGTAGAGGATGAAGGGAAGCAGAAAAGGGCGGAGGAAGGATGGAGGGGGGGAGGGCGGAGGTAGGGCGGACGTATGGTGACTTTGTTTTTCAGGGGGGGTAACGCAAGGTACGTGGGGGTGCGGGGGGAGGGGGCGGTACGTGACGGTAACGGCGGCCGCCGTGGCGACTACTGGTACGAATACCCGTACGAGTACGAGCACGAGTACGACTAGTACGACTCCGATTAGTAATACAAGAAGTACTAACAGTACCAGCACTACTCGTAATACTGGTATCACTCGTAGTACTAGTAACTCAAGCGTTGCTACTCGTACCCGTACTACTCGCAGTGCACGCGCTACTAGTAGTACACATCTGACTAAAATAAGATGCAGTAGTAGTGGTGATACGAAGAGTAATAGTAAAGTGGTATGTGTAGTAATAGCAGTAGTAGTAGTAGTAGTAGTAGTAGTAGTAGTAGTAGTAGTAGTAGTAGTAGTAGTAGTAGTAGTAGTAGTAGTAGTAGTAATGATACTAATAGTAGTAGTAGTAGCAGCACAGCGCGCACATAACACAACACAGGGAGCGGGGATAGCACGCAGAAACTTGGACGGGGGCTGTTCTCGATCACCCCGGAACACAAAAAGGCAAAAGTAGCCGAGACAGAAGAAACACGGTGTTCGACGATTTACCAAACGTCAAACGCGAAGCCCTACGATAACACAAATCGGTTTTGGCCAGTGCTATCTCTAAGCGACCGAGTATACGCAAACGTGAGGCCCAGCGAATGCACAGGTGCAGCAGGGATGGAAAAGAACAGTGGGGAGATATAAAGACATTATGCTGCTGTTGCTGCTGCTGCCCCCCCCCCAAGGTATGCAGCAGCAAAAGGAATAATCGAGCGCGAGATGGCGAGTGCCAGTCCGTTGACCACCCCTGCAGGCAGTCCTGGCACAAAGCTGAGCAGCAAAGCAATTACATCTGCAAAGCCTGCTATCGGCACCCACAGGACTGCGAGCGCACGGAGTATGCGCCTATGTCGGCGTCTGAAGAACCTGGAAGCCGTCATCGTCATATCTACTGCGGTGTGGCCATCCCCTTGAAGTGCGCGACGAGCTGGTGGACCTTGGATTCCTTGTCGCACCCCGTGGTCTTGGAGAGGCCATTCGTCTCCAGCACCTGGTTCCGCTTCTTCTGCGCGCACTCATCACAAGATGTGAATTTCCAAATCCACTCGTCCAAGTTCGCTGGCCAATCGGACTAATCAACCTCAGGAATGATGAAATCAGCAACGCGGGTGAGCTGTGGCATGGGGTCAACCTCAGCTGCAATTGGGGCTGGGGTCTCTTCACATGGTAGGAAGATGGCAGGCTTAGCTGCAACGGCTGCGTCACGCTTCTCGGTAACCGGTGTCATCGTGTTCTGGACCTGCGCGGGGAAGGCGTTGGTTTTGCTGTCGCTGGGCTGCGCCATCTGTTTCATCATCTCTATCATATGTTCCATCATCATATCCTGGTTCGCGTTCGTCTGCTTGCTGCATTCTTTCATCATGGCCATGCGCATCTTCTGCTGGTCATCGTCGTCCTTCTGCGGGTGCTCATCGTCACGGCAGCCAAAGTCATTCGCCGATGAGCCATCCAGCATCTTCTTCATCATCTTGAGCATCAGGAGCTGGCTGCTGGCATTATTCGTTTTGTTATGATTATGCTTACGCTTCATGGCCTTGCGGACCTGCTTGAAATTGAACTGCGAGCTGCTGCCGCTGCTGCCGCCTGAGCTGGATTCTGACGTGCATGATGCATCGCTGACCGTGGGCTCGAGGGCCCGCATGCCTGCCAACTTCAAGAGGCTGAAGGGCGTTGTCTTAGAGTCACATGTTTTGTCTGTCTTTGTCATCTGAGCCAAAGCCAAGGATATCTGCAACTGCGCTGCGGATCATGCTGCGGTGCGACTGCGCTTCGGCTTTTGCTCGCTTCTCCTTCTCCCTGCGCCAGAAAATCTCCGTCATTCCATCCGCTCCTCCGACTGCTGAGCGCACCCAAGCATCGCGAGCATGCCGTTGGGGCGGGGGTGCCATCTTCGACGATCCTGATCCATCCCATTGATATTGATACCTGCGGTAACCACCGTTACCTCCACCATAGCACTGCTTCTGTCCACCACCATTCTGCACGCGTCTGCCACCGCCTCCGCGACCGCGGCCACTGTCACCACCACGGCCCCACATGGACAACTAGTGCTGACTGTTCTGCTGGGCGAGCGGCGCGGAATCCTCGCGCGCCAGGCTGTCGCACACGCGTGTTTGCACACAAAACGTGCTACGGAGATGAGGTCTTGTCCAGGACAGAGAGGTATTGGGCCGGAAGTTCCTGGGACACACGCTTTCTCCAAGCCTCATCGGGCTCCGTTGCCACTTCCTTCTCAAACGTGCTTTTACACAGCCCCCCCCCCAGTCTACGAACAGTGGCGACAAATGCTGCGCTATGCCTGCGGGGCATCGCTGTGAGGCCTCGGCCCACGAGGAAGAGGAGCCAACCCTCGCGCGCAAAGTCAACTGTGGCATCATATGCACGCATCAGCATGCCTTCACACATGGAATTAAATGTACTTGCGCGCTCCCAAAGCCTCGAAAAGAAGAAGGCATGCGGGAGGGAGAATGGACAAGAGTGGAAGGCACGGAACTTGGCGAACTTGGGGTCTTTGACCACTCCTCTACCATAATCATGAATTGCTGAGAAGGCATGACACTCAAATGGGACTCGCGATCCGCAGCGGGCGCCGGGTGGACCTGCACATGGCTCGATGTTGTTACTCTGGAGGAAGTTGAAGGGAAGGGAAGAGCCTTCAAGCGTAAATCCAACATCACGTGGGAACAGCTTACGAAGCGATCTATACAAACATGTGCTACACAATAATGCGAGACATGGTAAGCCTGTCGTCCGCATATAGAAGACCCCGTATAACACCTGTTATGGGGATGTCTCTATATCTGAGGCCAACTCTAGCAGCGTGTTTCCGATCGTCGTACATCTTCTGGATGCAACTACCCAGGTCGGCACGCGTGGCTGGCTCTGACAATGGAGCTCCCACTACCCATCCCTGGGCACGTTCAAAGACGGCAGATCCAACGCAGAAGAAGATCATGCGTAACATACTGAAATGCCCGCTTAAGTTCACAGAACTTGAAAATGTCATGCCGTGGTCTGATCTGATCTCCAGGGGTAACCAAATATCCTGCAGCCTTATGTCCCCTATGTGTGGCAACGGATGCGGCCCCTGTTTTGGCCGTTGTCCGTTGAAGCATATCGCGAATGCAGTCTGCCCATCGACTGAAGCTAGCATCCTTAAAAATGGGATGCATCAGATTTACATAATGAAATGGGGTCTATAAGGGGCCTTTGCGCCTGGCACGCGCAAGTTCGCGCGCAGGCAGGCGTGCAAGTCTGGAGGCACGTGCGCGGATGAGTCTGGGCACTTCAGTAGGTGCCCATATTGTCCATGCGACGTCTCCGCCGTGACGTTAGATAAGTCGCATGGCGCGAGCTGCGCGCGATAGGAAGAGAATGTGTGCACACCGAACTGCGCTGACAATCTCTCGCACATGGGCATGCGACTTCTTACATGTGAGATCCCCTGAATCATGGCTGAAACAGTTCCCCCTTGAAGGTAACATATGCATGCGCGACGTCTTCTGGCTCTGCTTGCTTTTGTTGCGCCATCTTTTCGGCGCCAGGGCCGTATCACGCCGGCGCTGCATCTTAGCCACATGTTTTTTCGACATGTCACGTCTCGGTGTGTAGTGCTTGGTGTCTTGCATGAACGTATTGCCCATCAACCACATATATGATTGCCAGCGAACTCCTGCTCTCCGATGGGGATCTTTGTCAGGGCCAACCCATGCAACATCTGGGAGGGAGGGCGGCAAGCGGGGCACCTCGTGCCTGCGGCTGAAAAGGGGGGAGGACAGACATGTCAAGACACATTATACTCTTGAGATCTTGGGTATCTGGGAAACTACCGATCAACTGATATGACCAGAAATGCAGGCGAAGCTGTCGACGCAACTCTTCCCAAGCGCTGGCAAGGTCATGGTAGCTGGGCACACTCCAATACGTGTTATTCCATGCAATGCTCGTGTCTCTATGCTGCGCATGTGCTGGGTTCGAACTGAGCTGATCATCTATTTCAAAAGAGAAATAAATTTCTGGATGGGTATCACACTTGCGAGGTATTCGAGCACCATGGATTCTTGTCTTTGCATGCAAATATCGATGTAGTGCTGAATTGTGATTGGCAACCTTTCGAAAATACAGATTAATAGTACATCTGGTACGCTGCCGGATTGCTGGGTGATCATGAGCAACGGCAAAATGGACGGGACGGCGCGATATAACGCTTCCACAGTGAAAGAAACCCTCAATCTTAGATTGCGCAATGCGTTGGGGCCCCGTGGATAACTATCCTGTTTGGGTCCAGACTTCCAGGGCATATCGGGCGATGCCGGCATGACGCCACATCTTGCGATAGTAAAGCCTGGAGTGATGTTGGCCAAGGTACGTGGCAAGCCAATGCTCTCGCGTTCAAACGCACATGAAGGCGTCAACATGCGTGTTATTAAGGCGCCATTTCCCCCGACACACTTTAACCAAATCTACATATTTCGTACATTTCTCTTCAAACCCGCCGCACCTTGCAGGGTTGCGTCTGGTCCCTGTGAAATGTTGAAGGAGCATAATTGTAGCAAGGTCTGGTTCGGGCGACAGCGAGGGCACGGGCGTACAACTCTTGTTCTGACACGGTCTTGTCTTGGTAAAGGCTTTCGGGTGGGGGGGGAGCAGCAACTCGATACAGAGCGTTTCGAGTCTAAATATGCGCACTGCAGAGCCACGTGCAACAGGGATGGCGCAGAGCGCCCATGGTGCACAGCTCCCCCAGGCCTTATATCTGGGCATGCACAGCTGGCTCCCTTTTCCCCTAAAAGCTGCCTCGGAGTGTTCGCGGAATCTGACAACAACACCTTGCCATGCACTACTGTTGAAAACTCGTGCTCCCTGGGACTTCCCGACATACCAGCACCCCGACCCAGTTGATACAACCAAGTACAGGCTGCATTATGGGGTTTGGTCTCGGCGGGGTGTCCATAGGTTGATGTGTGCATGCTGCAGGAATGCATGCCAGAAGGGTGAGTTGAAACACTGTAATAACAAAGCTGCCTGGAGGACGGGCCTGCATGCGCGCAACATGACTCTGGTATACATGTTGCTGCGCTGGTGCTTCACAACAAAATATAATATCTGCATGGAGCCAAGACCAAACATGGCATGCCAAACTTCTTTATTAGAGTGGCCTCGTGCAAGCCAGATTGCCGAGCAACAGCGCGCACTTCGAATGCGATAGTATGTGTCATGATTGACAAAGCCATCCTGTGCCCACTGGGGCGCTGCTGCTGTGGCTGCACGGCCATGGGCATTCTCTCCTCGACATGGCGAAGCTCTGAGGTGCTGTCCCGCGGTATGCAGAAGGGGGGGCACTCTTAAGGCGTTGGATGCGTTCTTGCTATGATACTTGTGGGAGGTTGGGGAATATCCGTAATGCTCGACGTCTGGCAGGGCCCCACTCTGGTGGGGCTGCCATTGAAGATTTGGGCTTGTTTTCGCCACCCCCGCCTGGAAGCAGGAGACTGGGGGGGAGCTGCTGGTCCTGCAACGTATGAGATGCTAGGAAGGACAACGAAGGTAAGGATGAGGAGGGTAGAGCGGAGCAGAGAAACTGGCATCCTCCTTCTCTCTCTCCCCTCCCTCGCCTCTCTCCTGAGCCCGCCTGGCTTGCCCGCGCTGGAACGGAGCATCGGGGTTTACGTCCTCACCCTGAGCCTTGGCCTCTTGACAATCGGCCGAAGAATAAAATAATAATGGAACGAGATGGATACTGGGAAATAGAGAATAACCTGTGCGATGGACTGAGCAACTCTGCATCCGAGTAGGATACTGCTTAGAAGGAAGGCGCTCGCACTCTGCAGCACACATGCTCCAAGCGCTGAATGCTATACTCAAACGTGAGGCTCAGCGAATACACGGGTGCAGCAGGGATGGAAAAGAACAAAGGGGACGTATGAAGACATTATGCTGCTGCTCATGCTGCTGCTGCTCCTCCTCCTCCACCTCCTCGATGGGAAACTGCACGCGTTCACGCCTTTAGCCGTTTTGACGGTGCTACCAATACGTAGGAGGGGGGGAGGGGGGGTAGCATGCGCCACGTCAAGAAAATATAAGAACAGTCATATGGGAGGAGGGAGGAGGGTCCCGAAGATCCGACGTGACGAGCAACAAAACATAGTGAAACATCGCGACCAGAGCCCTGAGCCTCACCTGTCTCTGGGGGTTCTCGAGCTGCGTCGATCCGTGAGGGTGAGGGTGGGTCCCGAGGCCCCAAACCAGGGCGAGAAGCGCCTGTCGTGAAGAAGCCGCGACGCCTGGATCTCGGGGGTGGAGGGGTGGAATAGCCGTGGCATTTCCCGGCACCGGGCCACCCCTTCCCGTACACCAGCCTCACGAGCTTGCCCAGCCTGTTGGCGTTGCTTCATGGGCGGGGGGGGGGGGGGGCGATGAGTGAAGGGGGGGTGGGGGGGAGAAACGTTCACCTCTCGCGCCCCTTTTGGGCCAGTGGGGGTTCCCTCGGGGCCCCTCAAGGTACAAAAGAAGGCGCACCCTTTTCTTCACCCCCCATTCGTCGCCCCCCCCACCCCCCCAGACCCCCGACGTAATGTTTTTTTCACTACGTCGACCCCCAGAGGTCCCGACTCTTTTCCCATGACTGGCCTTGCATCCCTGGAGGCCGAAAATGCAGAAGAACCTTCCGTCATGATTTTCTCATTGCTCGAGGGGGTCTGGGCCCTGCGCAACGCCCGACGGCCTGTGGAGCGTGTCGCTCCGGGTGCCCAGCGGGCCCTCCTCGGGCAGGGGCGGGCAGTACCCGAAGTGGGGCAGGAAGCTGCACCACCTGGGAGGGCCGCAGGGATGAGGGAGGAGGAGGAGGAGGAGGAGGAGGAGGAGGAGGAGGAGGAGGAGGGCAGGCAGGGATGAGGGAGGAGGAGGAGGAGGAGGAGGAGGAGGAGGCGGATTCGTTTTTTGAGGATGAGGTAGCGGCGATGCATGGCAGAAGGAAGGTCGAAGCACGGCCCACGAGTCCGTGTCTCGAAATTTGAGGTCCCGGGGGAAGGGGGGCAAAAAGGAGGAGGTGCCTCAAGCAGCGTAAGTCCTCCCTTGGACCCCTTTTTTGCCCTGAGGCCCCCATCCCTCAAGACCCCGTCTCTGGACCACCGAGAGAGGACGCGGGCCCCATGGCCACCGTCGAGGGGAACACTGGCCACCGTCGAGCGATGGGCCCCGCCGAAGGACGGCCACGTGAAAAAAGCCGAGGCATGGCCGCCGTCAGCAAAAGAACAGGAGCCCATGTCGACGAAGGCCCAGGGCCCCATGGATATCTATATATATATATATATATATATACCGATATAAATATATATGGATGCATACATACATACATACATACATGCATACATACATACATGCATACGTACATACGTACATACGTACATACGTAGATACATACATTCGTGTATACATATATATATATACATACATACATGCCATCATACATGCATATATACATACAGGCATACACGCATGCAGACATACAGGCTACATGCATGCATACATACATACATACAGGCATGCATACATACATGCATGCATACATACATGCATGCATGCATGCAGATTGGCATGGATGCATACATGCATACATGCAGTACTGCATACATGCATGTATACATGTATGCATGCATACGTACACACATACATACATACATACATACATACATACATACATACATACATGCATAAACACATCATACAGACATACATAACAACGTGCAAGCATACATGCATGCATGCATGCATACATACATGCATCCATACATGCGTACATACATACACACATCTATACATAACGACATACATACATACATACATACATGCATACACACATGCACTGCTTTATGGATACATACTTGCAAACAAACATACATACACATATTCATACATACATACATACATGCATACACACATACATTACATTACATTCCATTACATTCCATTCCGTTCCATTACATTACATTACAGTACATTACATTACATTGCATTGCATTGCTTTACATTACATACATTACATACATACATACATACATACATACATACATACATACATACATACATATATACAGACATACATACATACATACATACATACATACATACATACGTACGTACGTACGTACATACATACACACATAAATGCATACACACATACGTACATACACACATACATACATCCATCTATCCATCCACCCATCCATTCATCCATTCATGTTCCCCAATCAGAGCTTGCACTGAAGGGGTCCTCGCGGAAGCTGAAAAATTTGGCGAAGGTGTCCTGCCGATTTTGGTCGCACGCGGGTTCCCGGGTTCCCGGTTCCGGGTTCCCTGTTCCAGGTTCCCGGTTCCAAGTTCCCGGGTTCCCGGTTCCGGGTTCCAGGCTGATTTCGGAGGGCTGCGAGGTTCCAGGGTTCCGCGGTTCCTGGTCCTGGTCGATCTTCTTATCGATCGGTCTCACCATCGATCTCATTACCCACTTCTCAATCGATCTCACCATCGATCTCACTATCGATCTCAACATCGATCTCACAAGCGATCTCGCTAGAGATCGCATGAGCGATCTCGCGATCGATCTCGCTATCGATCTCATTGAATCGATTTCACTCTAGGTCTCACGATCGACCTTACAATCGTCCTCACGATCGATTCCACTATCGATCTCATTATCGTTCTCACAATCGATCTCAATATCCGTAGTATTAATTTGCAAATCATCCACCGATTGGGTTTCTCAGGTGTGGTATACATACATGCATACATACATACAAACATACATATATACAGACACATACACACATACACGCATACGCAAACACATGCATACGTACGCACATACTGACAGACATACATACATGCATGCATACACAACTACATTCAGTCATACATACATACATAGCTGCATGCACGTATTCATACATACATTCATACATACATACATGCGTGAACGCATGCATACATACACACGTATATACATGCATACATATGCACATACATACATACATACATACATACATACATACATGCATGCATGCATGCATACATGCATGCACCCACACCTACATACACAAACATACATACATACATACATACATACATACATACATACATACATACATACATACATACATGCATACATACATACATACATGCATGCATGCATACATACATACATACATACATACACACACATGCATACATACATGCATGCATACATACTCACAAACATACATACATGCATGCATACATACATACATACAACGATTTACACGTGCATACATATATATATACCTAAACACATACATATATGCATGCATGCATGCATGCATGCATACATACATACATACATACATGTATACATACATGCATATATATACATACATGTACGCATGACTACACACACATATGCAATCCTGCATACATCTATATGCACACAGGCAACTGTGCACACATACGTGCATGCATGCATGCATGCATGCATACATACATACATGCATGTACGCATGCCGGCATACATGCAGACAGACATACAGAGACAGACAGACAGACAGACAGACAGACAGACAGACAGACAGACAGACAGACAGACAGACATGCTTACATGCATACATACATACACCCCCCGGGCTCCCTCCCTCCCTGCCCTCGACCGTCCTCCCGCCCCGCCCTCCTCTCACTGCCTCCTCCTCGCCGCCGGCCTCCCGCCCCCCCCCGCCCACAGGGGAGGCGCACCGCCTGCCGAGCAGCAGGCCCACGGGCGAGGTGACGGCCCCGCAGGCGCGCCCCGCGCACGACTCCCCCCCGCCGTCGCGGCTGCCCGATTCGCTCCCGCTGCTGGAGCTCCTGCAGGCGGGGCGGGCGCCCGGCTTGGGGCGGGGGGGGGCAGCGGTGGGCAGGGGGCAGATTGAGGGGGCCCCAGGACACACAAAGGAGTACACACAAACAAAAAGACTCTCCATATTTTCCCATATTTTCAGGGTTTTCGTCTTCCCCCCAACTTCCCATAGTTTCCCATGTTTTCGGGGGAATGGGCGATTAATGGTGTCTGTGTGCTTTTTCCCCTCCTGACAGGTCGAGCCCCGAGTCCGATCCGGAGCGCGGGCTCGAGCACGAGACCGAGCTCGAGCCCGAGCCCGAGCGCGAGCGCGAGCTCGCGCCCGCGCCCGCGCTGGCACCCGCCCTTCGCAGCCGCGCCCAGGCTCGCGCAAACGCCCGAGCCCGAGCCCGCCCCCGGGAGACCTCTGAGATCTAGAGTGTGTGTCGGGCTCCGCGGCCTTGTCTTGTGCCATTCGAGAACGCCATAACTCGCCATCGCTCTGACGTCCACTCCCCGTGTATGTGGCGGCCTCGTGCGTGAATTCTTGCCAGATGGCCCAAAATGCTCCTCGATGGTCCTCGCCGAGAAACAATGCACACGTCCGAGCGATGCCAAGACAAAGTCGGGGATAATAGCGGTCCACATCCCTCCGCTGGCCAAAACACAAAGAGCATCCAAGAGTGCCCTCCCTGGGGGGCACACGAACATCCAACAAGCACGAAGAACATCAGGACACCCTCCCCGAATCGGCCTCGATCTTATACCTCGTGCATCCCCGAGTTGGGTCACAAAATGTTGGGCCATTCGAGAACCCCGCAAAGTCGGGGACGACGCAACCTACAAGGAGGAGTGGGAGGAGGAGGAGGAGGAGGAAGAGGAGGAGGAAGAAGTCAACAGAAAGTCGGCATGGGTGGACGCGCCCCCCCGTCAAACTGCACGCCCGCACCGATCCTGGCCAGGAGCATCCCAGGCCCGGGAGCGGCGAGCACCCCGGGGACCCGGGCGCCCGCCACTTCTGTCCCCCCGCGCTCGGGCCCGAGTTCGCACCGTGCACGGGTCCAGTGATGGGCTCTTGTTTTCCACCACCACCACCACCAGAAGTTGGAGGGGGTGGGGGTCCTCCTCCTCCGCCTCCGCCTCCTCCTCCTCCTCCTCGACCCTCCTCGAACCTCCTCCTCCTCCTCCTCCTCCTCCTCCTCCTCCACCTCCTCCTCCTCCTCGAACGTCCTCCTCCTCCTCGTCCTCCACCTCCTTCCCCTCTGCAACTGATGGCGGTGGTGGTTGTGGAACAGACGCCCAGCATCCAGGATCGGCCTGGTCGGGATGGCAGCGAAATCTGCAGAACCTGCGCATGCTGGGCCCAAATCGGCGCACACCCCGGGGACCCCGGCGCTGCCGTCTGTTCGCCCCGTGCTCGGGCCCGCGCTCGGGTCCCAGGACCGCCACGGAGCGACCCGGCCTGAAAATTACAACGGAAAGATCGGGTCTGGGGATCCCGCCGTGTTTTGGTCCGCGGTGCGGCAAGCTGTCTTTGCAGCGTCGGATCTGAGGGTACAGTCATCGGCCTGACCTACGGAACGATAAATAAGGAACCAAGCCCCTTCCTTCCAAGGAATAACGCATAGAGAACGATGAACAAATAATACATAACGCATAGGGAACGATACATAACGCATGCAAGCCTAAGGAACGACCGAGCCCCTTTTGAAAAGTAAGTGTTCCTTATTCAAGCCGCTCACTGTACGCCCTTCTAGCGTCGGCAGAGAGAGGGCATACGCTCTGCTCCTGGGTCCAGGATCGGCCCGGCCGGGATCGGTCCGAATCTGCAGAGCAGAAACGGAATTGGCATACATTCTCGAAAGTCCGCGCGGACCTCCGAGATGATGGGCCTGTGCTCCACCACCACCACCACCACCACCATACTTTGGAGGGCGAGGGGGTGCTCCTCCTCCTCCTCCTCCTCCTCCTCCTCCTCCTCCTCCTCCTCCTCCTCCTCCTCCTCCTCCTCTCCTCCTCCTCCTCCTCCTCCTCCTCCTCCTCCTCCTCCTCCTCCTCCTCCTCCTCCTCCTCCTTCCCCCCGTCCAACTTATGGTGGCGGTGGAAAGCAGGCCCATCACGAGAACTTCTGCCTGCGCCGCTGCTGTTCCTCGAGGACTGTGCCATTGATGCCCCCCGAGCTCCCCAGCGACTCGCTCCGCGACCGGGCGCGCCCTGCGTAGGGCGAGAAGTCGTCCTGCGGGACGCCCGAAGTGGGCGCGGACCGAACGGGTCGGGCGCCCAGCAGCAGACTGCGAGGCGGGGATTGACCCATATCCACCGCCCGAGAACCGACGCCCTGGTGCCCCAGCGGGCGGTGGACATGGGCAGATTTCGGCCCCCAGGGGCCCGAATATGTCCAGATCCACCGCCTGTCGAGGCTCCGAAAACTGACCCTCCAGGCGATGGTCATGTATAAATTCCCGCCTCGGGCTCTGGACGCCCGAAGTGGGCGCGGACAAAATGGGTCAGATGCCCGGCAACAGATGTTGCAGTGGGACGCACGGGGACCTACTAATACTACATGTCCTCCTTGGAGGCGCGCGTCCGACCCGAACATGTAGTATACCCATCTTGTGATGTAGCGCTTCCCGAGCGGTGTGGCCAGAAAGCGCCCGCCACGACGCACATGCTGTAAGATGTCTCGGCGCGAGCGTCGCCCCTGAGGGGGCGACGCACATATAGTATAAGTATGCTGGGGTGACGCCGAGACAGCGGCCGCTGTCGGGCAGGCGGCCGTCTGCCTCAAGCGGAAACGCCCGCGGCGGCACGGAGAGCGCAGCCTGCTCGAAATCGGCAGGGACTGGTGTCGGCCTTCGTGCCCGTTCTTTCAGTACCCATTCCGATCGTGCCGAGTCTGTTCGAGGCGACGACGAGGGGCGGATAGTTCGGGGGCGGGCACTGCACGCACTCGTCGGGGAGCCTCGCCGAAGACATTGACCACGGGCGCCCCTGGATACTGCTCCCCCCTGGGCTACTCGCCCCTATCGCTGGATGCTCATTCTGGGGACCTTTCTGGAGACACTCGCTCAACTTGTGCGTCGAAGCTGCGTCGAACGCCCATGGATTTGAGCCGACCTTGAGTCGGAACCCGAGTCGAACCTGAGCCGATCTTGAGCCGAACTCGAGTCGAACTCGAGCCGACCTGGGGTCGAACGAAAAAGTCGAACAGATCCGTCAGGTGGGGCCCAGGGAGGTCCCCGAAACGAGCATCCAACCATCGTCGTCTCCGAGTCCTGCACGTGGTGGACGAGGCTGCGGGCGTGCGCGCCTGCGCGTGGCGGGAGCGCCACCGTCACCTGGCGCGTGGCTGTCAGCCGCCTGGCGGTGCGCGCACGGGGCCACGGGGGCGCGGGGGTGGGGGCCAGCAGAGGCGTCCCCAGACGAGGCCCGAGCAGCATGGGGTCGGAGGATCGCGCCGCATCCCTGATCGCCGATGCACCGGCGAGGCGTCGGCGACGCGGGCGAGGCGTCGCCGACGTCGGGGTCGAGAAAATGAGGCTCCACATCGAGCCGCATCGGCGATGCATCGGCGATGCGACGCGATCCTCCGACCCTATCTACTCGGACCCCATCAATAGAAAAAGAAGATGAAGAAGAAGAAAAAGAAGAAGAAGAAGAAGAAGGAGAAGAAGACATAAAACTTCTGATGCTCCGCGCGGATTTCTTGGGTCCGTGCTGGCCCCTCCTCCCTGGCGCGCGGAGCGCGCCAGGGGCGGCACCGGAGGCGCCGTTGGGGGGGGCCTAGCGCGGATCCAATAAATCCACACGAAGCGCCGAACGTTGCTGCTTATTGATTTTGTTCTGCTTCGATCTTTCGCACAAAGGGCTGGACCTCAACGTTGCTTCTCGTGCTGCTATCGTTCTGTGCTTCGTTCTGCTCCGCCTGCACCCCGGGCCCCGCCCTCCCCGGCCGCCCGAGGCCCCGCCCGCCTGTGCCCTGTCTCCCCAATTAGAGCTGTGCGTAGCCCGCCCAGCTTTTAGCGGAAGAGGTTCGCTCTCGCCCCGCCGACCAGAAAGTGTTTCGTTCTGCTCCACCTGCCTTCCTGCACCTCCCTGCCGAAACGAAGAACAGGGCACAGCCGAAGTCCGGCAATCGGGGATCTCCTGACCCGGGTCAACCCAGACCCGGGTCAGCCAGGGCTTATAGAATCCTGCAAGATCCTGCAAGACCCTGCACCCAAACCCGGGTCAACGCGAAGAATCCTGCAAGATCCTGCAGGATCCTGCACCCAAACCCGGGTCAATGGGAGCCTGGCCCTGCAGGATCCTGCAAGATCTGGCGCTCTGGCTGACCCCCGTTTGCACTGACCCCCGTCTCAAGGCTCCCGAGGCAAAAAACAGCGCTCGGCTCCGGCCCTGCTCTCGCTCGGCGGAGCGTCGGCGGTGCGCGTCCGGCGGTGCGGCGCGCGGCCCGTCGACCCGCCGGCCCGCTCGGCGAGCCCGCCCGGGGGAGGCCCAGGGAGGCGGCGCCTCCATCGGGAGCGGCCAAGAGGGGGGTGGGTGTCCAAGAGGGGGGGGTGCAAATCATGGCTGGCGGCATGTGCGCGGCCCAGCGGGGGGGGCCAGGGACGTAGGGAAAGAAGCAGAGGCTCCATGAAATCTGGGGAGATATCATGGCCACCGCCATGATATCCCCCCCCCCCCTAGTCATCACCCCCCTCTTTTCCGCCCCCGATCCAGGCGGCCGCAGGGGCGCCGTTTCTTTCTGGGGCCCGGGGATCGGAGGTGCTGCCGGGACGCCCCGCCGCGGCCCTCTGCTCAGGTCGGGCGTGTCCCCCTACAGGGGGGAGTGTTTGGACGAAGGGTCAGAAAGACCCCAACAATATTCAGAAACATGTGACGTAGATAAACAGGGCTCAGAAAATTGTCCCCAGACTAATTCTAACTCTTTTTGAAGATCCCCCCTGTAGAGGGACGGAGAGGCCCGACTTAACCCTATGCTTAAGTCGGACCTGTTCCTCTACAGAAGGAACACTCGAAGATAAACAAAAAAACTGGGGACGATATTTCTCGTGTGTTTGAATATTGTTGACATGTTTTCACTAGATTGAACTTTTCGTCCAAGATCCCCCTGTAGGGGGACAGAATCGGTAGCACCCCGGATCGGCGGCACTGACCGGAGGCCACTACAATTATGGGGACGACTGTTCTTGTAATATATCGAATATTGTTGGCACACGTGTTGACTATGTCGACTATTTTCTGAGTTTCATCCAAAATCCCCCTGTAGCGGCTACACGCAAGAGTGACCCTGGGCAAGGGTGACCTTTGGTGCGCGGCTTAGCGGGGGCCGCCGCGGGGCCGAACTCGGGCGCACAAGCCGCCGCCAACGTCGTGGCACTCGGCGAATTTCGGCAACTGGGGGGCCGCATTGGGCCCGCACCAAAGGTCACTCCATCCAAGGGTCACTCTAACGTGTGGCCGACTGTAGGGTTGTGGATGCCATGACAATGGACACTCCAACAATCCTATAATTGAGTTGAACATGTGTCTAAAATGTGTAAAACTGTTCTGAAGGTGTTTCAAACCTGATGTTTTTACATGTTCAAAACATGTTTGAAACATGTTTTAGACATCTGGAGATTATTTGGCAGCATGCTTCCTCTCCATTAATCGACTTCCACCACTGTAGTCGGGAGTGGCCAAGAGGGGGGGTCCAAGAGGGGGGGTGCAAATCATGACCGGCGGCATGTGCGCGGCCCAGCGGGGGGGGCCAGGGACGTAATGAAACAAGAAAAGGCGCCATGAGATCTGGGGAAACATCATGGCCCCCGCCATGATATCCCCCCCCCCCCCTAGTCACCACCCCCCTTTTGGACGCCCGAAATGGGTACGGAAACAATGGTCACAATGCCCAACAGCAAATGTTGTCCCGAACAAACAGCGGCCGCTGTTGGGCGGGCGGCCTTCTGTCTCGAATCGGCGGCGCGGACAGCGAGTCCTGTTCAAAAGGAACAGGAATTGCTGTTGGGCATCGTGCCCATTCTTTCCGTGCCCATTTCGGGCGTGCAGACCCCTCTTTTCCGCCCCCGATGTAGGGGGACAGGCCCGACGTCATCCTGTGCCCGGGGAGCCCCCCGCCGCGGACGCCACGGCCGCGGCCGCGGCGCGGGGGCGCAGCGCGGGAGAGAGGCCCGCCACAGGCGGGCCCCCCCCCCCGGCGGAGGGCCCGGAGGCCCGCCCGGGCGCGGATCTCCGGGTCTGGAAGCTGGCATTAAGCCGGGCATGTCCCCCCCCCCCCATACAGGGGGATTTCGGACGAACGAATTTTGAATATCCCAAAAGATATTCAAGAATACACAAAAATCCTCAAATACATGGTCCCCAGAGTATTTGTTTAAACTATGTTGGAATATTTCTCCTGTAGAGGGACAGGCCCGACTTGATTCTGGCGGCCCAGGCCCGCTCGGGTCATGACAAAATCACGACGGGAGGTTTTTCCCCATGTTCGGCCTCCTGGGGCCCTTCCCGGGCCTCGGGGCCGTCAGAAAACGGCTCAGGATGAGGAGGAGGAGGAGGAGGAGGAGGAGGAGGAGGAGGAAGACCGGTCCTGGGGAAGGGGTCCAAACCTCTGGGGGTCGAGTTGTGAAAAAGTCCTGACGTCGGGGGTCTGGGGAGGGCGATGGCCTCTCCCAGGAGGCAGGGGCTGCTCGGGGCGGCACCACGCCTTCGGAGAAGCCCGCCCTCCCTCTCTCTCTCTCTCGAGGGAGCCTCGCCGAGCCCTGCTGAGGAGCCCCCCCCCGCCTTTTCGATGGAAGCCCCCCCCCCCACTCGCCATCGCTCGGACGTCCATTCCGTGTGCTTTTTCGGTTTCGTGCGTGGCTTTTCCGCCACATGATCAAGGGTGCTCCTCGATGGTCCCCACCGAAGGAAAAATGCACACGTCCGAGCGATGCCGAGCCCAGGCACCATCGCGCCTCGGCTGGAGCTGCGGCATGCTGGGGTTGCGCTGCACCAGCGCCAGCTGCGCCGCGGGCCGCTGGGCGGCAGAAGCGTCCAGCTGCTGCGGCAGCGGGTGCTGAAGCTCAGGCCTCTGCTGCCGAAGCTGCTGCTGAAGCTGCCACTGCTGCCACTGGTCCTAGAGGGACACAAAAACTGCATACACATCAACTTCTGGAGGTCCGCGCTGCACCCACCTCCCTGGCGCGCGGAGCGCGCCAGGGGCGGCGCCGGAGGCGCCGCCAGGGTGGCCCAGCGCCGACCCAAGAGACCCGCGCGGAGCGCCAAAAGTTTATGCTCACGCATGGCAATTGTTCTTCTTCGAGCCGAAGCTGCCACTGCTGCCACCCTAGAGATCCGATGTCGTGATTTTTGTTTCCACGCGCGGTCCCCGGCAATCTCGACCCATTCCCCAGGACCCGCTTTTCATCCTGAGTCGTTTTCTGACGGTCCCGAGGCCCAGCGAGGGCCCCTAGGGGCCGAAAGTGGCGGGAAACCTCCGTCGTGATTTTATCAATGCGTTGGATCTCTGGGACCGGTCCTGCTGCCGCTGCCAAGCCAGAGGCTGCTGGGGCCCGCCGCCCAGCTGCTGCGGGGGCAGCTGCTGCCAGGGGTGCGGCGGCGGGGGCGGCGGCGGCCGCCGGGGGAGCGGCAGGTCCGAGGCCAGGCCCCAGGAGCCGAGCCTGCGCACGCGCCACTCGGGTGCGGCTGTTGAGTCGGGCCGGGGGCACACAAAGAGACCGGCGTATCTTCTCAGATCTTCTCGGATCTTCTGGGTTTTCGGCTTCCCCCCCCACTTCCCCCATGTTCCCAGCATCTTTCTGGGAGTCGACGGCGTACCGTGTCTGTGTGTTTTGTTCCCCTCCTACAGGCGGACCTTCGACGAAGGCTAGAAGAATATTCACTGCGTGGAGCTCCCCATATGTGCATCTATTCGCATGGACCTGTCCGCCGTGACTGTCTAGGCGCAAGAACTTTCGAATATAAACGGGCTTCGGCTGTGACGGTCTGGTCATGAATCTCACTGCGAATGAATTGGAGTGTGAATGAGCCTCAGTAGTACGAGCGCGTCTCTGCGCATGAGCCTGGGGCCTCCTGGGGCTTCCTGAAACCTACAGGGGCTTCCTGGGGCCTCCAGGAATCTCTTTGGGCCTCCAGGAATCTCTTGGGGCCTCCTGGGACCTCCTGGGACCTCCTAGAAGGATTCGTGCCCCAGGAGAGGCCCAATCTGTAGCAACAGGCGTACATAAAACATTGCGGAGTGGAGCCGCAGGAGAAGGGCAACATATAGGAACACACGTAAAACGCCAAGGACTCGTGCCCCAGGAGAGGCCCAAAATATAGGAACGGAAGTAAAACAAATTAGGATCGTGTACACAGGAGAAGGACAATCTATAGAAACATACGTATAACATCAAGGATTCGTGCTCCAGGTGAGCCTATCTATAGGAGCATACGTAAAACACATGGGGTTGGAGCCACCCCCGTTGCCTTCTGAGGCCTCCTGCTCCTGGGACCTCTCGGGGCCTCCTCTTGCCTCCCGAAGCCTCCTGGCGCTTCATGTGGCCTCCTGGGGCCTCCTGTGGCTTCCTGAAGCCTCCTGGAGCTTCCTGGGGCCTCCTGGGGCCTCTTGGGACACCCTGTGGCCTCCTGAGTCTTCCTGTGGCCTCCTGATGCCTCCTGGGGCCTCATGTGGTCTCATAGGGGCCTCCTGGAGCCTGTTGGCGCCTGCTGTGGCATCCTGAGGAGACTCTGTGCCCACGAGTCTGGCCACCAAAACAGGCAAACCGATCGGGACATCCTCAACATCTGGCCCACCTGGCGGGTGAAAATGAGCGCCACGCTAGACATCCTCCAAATCTGCTCCGAAGGCGAAAGGTGTTGGGACAGAAAGCAGGCAAACCGCTTGAGACATCCCCCCACAAAACGGCCGCGAACGGGACCGTGCAATACCCCTCGGCGGCTCCCCTCAGGGGGGTGAGCATGAGCGCCTCGCTCGAGACATCCTCCAAATCTGCTCCGAAAGCGAAACGGCCCGACAAAACGGCCGCGAACGGGACCGTGCAATACCCCTCGGCGGCCCCCCTAGGGGTGCTGAAACCAGCGCCCCGCCTGAGACATCCTCACAATCTGCTGTGCGTTGAATAAGTCAGACAATGAGAAGGTCGGAGTATGAGTAAGTCTGGGTATACGTGAGTCTCAGCATGAGTAAGTCTGAGTATGGGTAGGCCTGAGTATGAGTAGGTCTGAGCATGAGTAAGTTGAAACGATCAGGTCTGAGTATGAGTAAGTCTGTGTATGAGTAAGTCTATGTATGAGTAAGTCTAGGTATGAGGAGGAGGAGGAGGAGGAGGAGGAGGAGAAGGAGGCGTCCAAGTAATAACAAGGACCCCATCTCAGGATATGGGGAATACCCCCCAAAATACTCAAAACATATTCAAGAATGGTCCAAAAGTTGTTGTCCCAAAAACTATGCTTGGACTATTTTTTGAATATTCCTCCTGTAGAGGGACAAGCCCGACTCAAGGCTGCTGTCAAGGGGCCCAGGGGCACACAAAGAAATAGACACGAATACCAGGATGCCCCATATTTTCTCATATCTTCTGGGTGTTCGGCGTTCCCCCCCCCACTTCCCGTATGTTCCCAGCACCTTCCTGGGAGTCGACGATGTATTGTGTCTGTGTGTGGTGTTTCCCCTCCTGAGCCTGGGTGGATAGCCAGACTCTGGATAGCCGACATTAGAGGCTGATCCCCTGGATCAGGGAACAAGCAAGGACACAAGCATAACCTTTCGGATCTCCGCACGGAGTTCTCGGATCGGCGCCGGGCCCCCCTGGCGGCGCCTCCGGCGCCGCCCCTGGCGCGCTCCGCGCGCAAGGAGGGGGGGGCACAGCGCCGATCCGAGAACTCCGTGTGGACCTCCGACAGCTCATGCTTCTGTCGTCGCTTGCTCCCTGAATGGAGGCCAGCCCGCGCAACAGCCACTCGGGGCTGCTGGGTGGGGTCTCTGCGAAGCTGCGCCGCGAAGCTCCCAGACACACGCCGGGCGCCGGGGCCGCGGGGGTCGCGGGGGCTCCCGCGGGGAACGCGAAGCTGGCCTGCCTCTCGAGCCAGGAGGGGTTCTCGAGGCCGAAGCCAGGGGCCTGCCGCACGAGCGGCGCGGCCTCGGGCAGCCAGGCCATCGCGCGCGCGCGCGGCCCCGGAGCCTGGCCGGAGCGGCCGCGCCAATGGCTGCGGCAGCGGCCGTGACGGCAAGGCGCAGGCGGCTGCGGCCGGCTGCTCGATAGTCCAGCTTAGCACTGGCCCCGTCTGGCCTGCCTCAGCCCAATCCTGGCCGACCCTACAGCAAGGATAGCAGGCCCAGGAACACACAAATACATACACACACACAAATCCCAGGATTCCACTATGTTTCCCATATGTTCTTGATTTCCGTCTTCCCCCACACTTCCCAGGTTTTCCGACATTTTCTTGGAAATCGGCACTTCATTGTGACTGTTTGTTTTTCTCCTCCTGAAGCAATACAGATTATCGCAGCCTTGCCTGGCAAAGCGCGACTTCGCTGGGGATGCCGCAGCTCTGCCCCAGCATTACCCATGCATTCGGCCTGGTATTTAGCGTGGGGGCTCTGGGCTCAGCTTCACATGTGGCCGGTTCCGGAATCCCTGAAGTGCAAGGATTCCCAGAAGAGGCCACATCTGCGAGGCCGCACCACGCGACAAGATCGCCGGAAGATCGCGAAATCGACGGCGCGAGCAGCGCCAGACCTCGACAACAAAAACACATTCGACCACGCCCTGTTCGGGACGTGGGCCCGTGCTAAAACAGAGCTAGGATCGGGATAAATCGATCCAGAGCGTTCCAGAGCGCTCTCAGAGCGTTCCGGAACGCTCTGGAGCGGCCGCGGCGCCCAATACATCCTCCAAACCTGCCGATTCTCAGAGATCTCGAGTTATCCCGATCCGATTTTGTCCCGATCTTCGCGTCGTTTTGCGTGCGCCCACGACGGACCCCAGAACTGCTGCCATCTCCTTGGGGTCGCAGCTTCACGTCCGCTGGCCTCCGCCCGCGGAGGCTGCCCCGTGCTGCCTCCGCGGGCCTCCGCCACCCTGCCGCCGCACCCCGCCGCCGCTTTCCACCGAGGAGGAGATGGCAGCTCCCTCGGCCCTCAGATAGGGGAACAAACAGTGACATAAACAGAAAAACTCGGAGGTCCGCGCGGACTTCCCGAAAAGGCAAAAGGGATGGACGATGAGGTGGGAGATCGTGTCCCCACGCCACCCTGCACATCGCTTCCTGACCCCGACCTCGCCGTGGTCCTCCTCCTCCTCCTCCTCCTCCTCCTCCTCCTCCTCCTCCTCCTCCTCCTCCTCCTCCTCCTCTTGGAGGAGGAAGAGACGGAGGAGGAGGAGGAGGAGGAGGAGGAAGAGGACGGAAAGTATGCGCGGAGTATCCTTATAGTCACAGCTCAGCTAATTGAGCTTCGCTCCAGTCCTCTGCCAAGGGAGAAGGACGAGAAGAAAAATGGGGAAAGGGGGGACGGAGGTTGAGAGGAGTGGAGATGGAGGAGAAGACGAGGAGGATGCTGGGAAGGAGGAAGGGAAGGAGGAGGGGTGGGGTGGGAGAGGAACAGGAGAAGGAGAGAAGTAGAAGAGAGGTGAGAAGGATGAGGAGGGAGAAGCGGAAACCCGAGAAAGAGGACCAGACGGAGGAGCGAGGGGAGAGCAGAGTAGAGAAGGGACGAGGGAGAAGCAGGGGAACGAGCTGTGCAATGAGAGGGGCGACGCGTGACGAAGGGGAGACCCGACATCGAGCGCCCACATTTTTTTCTCGCGCCCTCGACGCGAGGGTCGCACGGAACCTTGCAGAGAAGGGAACGGCCCTCCCATGACCTCGCGCCTCCTCCTCCTCCTCCTTTGCCTTCTCCTCCTCCTCCTTCTCCTCCTCCCTCTCCTCCTCTTCCTCCTCGTCCTCGTCCTCCTCCTCCTCTTCTCCTCCTCCTCCTATTCCACCTCCTCCTCCTCCTCCTCCTCCTCCTCCTCCTCCTCTTCCTCCGTGAGCCGCCGCACTCACTCCAGGAACCAGCAGTACGGGCCGACGCCGCGGGTGCCGTCGTGGCGCTTGGGCGCCCAGGGGTAGTGGTCGTGGACGATGCGGTACCTCTTGGAGAGCCCCCCCCCCCGATCCTCCGCAAGCAAGGCACTGCCACACCGGCGCCACCGGCACGCCCGGCCAGGGCTGTGCTCGGCCCTGGCCGGGGGCCGGGAGGGCCCCGTGCACCCTCCGAGGGGCCGGGGTGGCGCCGGCCAGGCAGGGCGGTGGCGAGCAGGCAGGTGCACGTCGGGCGGAAGAAGC